TACAAATTTTTTGATGTTATTTTTAAAATTAACGATCCAAAATTAGCCGGTTTACATATTTTAAAATTTTTAGAATCAATGGTTGAATTTTTGTACTGAAAGGGTTAAGAAAGCATTAGTTTAAAAGTGTGATACTTTCACCATATACGACGCCAATTTTCAGTGATTATCGCGTTTCAGATTACGACTAATAAAGCCCTTGGACAGATATTGTGAAAGGCTGGACTATACCTTAAAGATGAATGTTTTCTCACGGCCCACTGTGCGAAGCTTTGAGTAGAGCAAGGTCATTTAAGAATTTAAAAATTATCCTCGGTTATCAGGTCTCTAGCAATCCAAGATGAATTGTTATCTTTCACGAAGTTCTTTAAACAAATTTTGGGTTAAATACTGAAGTATTACGTTTTATTATATACTTAAATTTAAATTCTTAATATTAGTAAGCATTTATTTACTGCATTCACCTTTATTTCGGGGGTTGCTACTACATAGTTTAAATTGACAGTTTAATTTCTTATAAAACTTACCTTGAGGTTTATGCATGTTAAGCATACATCGAAAATTTGTTTTAGAGAATCAATGTGAAATAATTGCAGAAACGATTAACCGGTTTGGTAAGCAACCGAGAAGTCTGCTTTTTAAATAATTTTTGTAAAACATATCGGCAAGTACAAATCGTCCCCCGATGCTAGAAACATGAACATGTAAAGATGAAAATTTTGGGAAATAAAGTTTGAAGATCTTTTTACGAGACTTAACTCTGCATTCGTGTAATTGACAATGTGAAATATGTGGTTTCAGTGCACGCATGGCATTCTGGGTTTTGGTATAACATAGATTATCCAAAGGTTAACCAAGTCAACCCAATAACTCAAAATTGGTAAATTTGCACATTCATGTTTCTGGCCGTTCTACATATTTTTGTATTAAGAAGACAGTAGTCATATTTCCTGTTAATATTTTTCTATTTGTATGAAAAGAAGTCAATCAATTGTAAGTTTAGTACTCCACTCTACCTACTATAATCTTACTATCTTATCTTATCTTACTCTTACTAATATTA